TCATAACATACATCAGCTCTCTGCAATGCAGAAATACTCGAATTGATGGTGGCATGTCAGATTCGTTTTTCGGTAGAACCTCTAAAATGAAAGTGAAAGAGGGAAATTTCAGAGTTCTCACTGGCATTACTATACACAAAATAATTCGGCTGATCTTCTTCATAGATTACATTCCCCAAGCTTTTATGATAGGAAAGATACTGCCAATTAACAAGTATGAGGCTCAGTTCAGTACATCTGCCCAATTTCTTTTATGCAATTCTGCAAATTTAGGAACTTGTAATTTTCCTGCACTACTTTCTTCTCCTACCGATTCTAAAAATAAAATGGGATGTACCCAATTAAGGTCTTCCGTTTCCAACGGAAAGGACTAATACGACTCGATGGTTGTCCAAGCTTAGCTAATGGACCATTGTTTTAGTGATGATAAAAATGAAAGTCTTGTCCAGTACGGGGCGACATATGCTATTGCTTGCAATAGCAGACTTTCTAGTTAAGGTCTTCCGACTTCCTTCGGAAGACCTTATTGTTTTCCGTCGGTTTCCTATTATTATTATTCTTTTTTTCATTTTTATGGCGATATCTCAGTTGTGGCTGTACGGATTTCAAAGATTTTTACATGAAAGATGCACCAGGTTAATATCTCCAGACGTGTTTTTCATTTTTTCAAAATTTTCTTCTGTTCGCAATTTTTGGGGAAATTTGTATTTTTTAAATGGATTTTTGTACACTACTTTTTTCGAAAACAGCTAGAGATATGACATTGAAACTTACGGACATGAAAGAACATCACATGTAGATGTGCCGAACGTCCTTCATTTTTTGTCGTTCCTACTTCCGGTCGCAAACGGAAGTGAATTCAAAAAGTCCAATTTTTCAACTTTTTTGCTTTTCAATATTTTTCTTTCGGATTTACAGGGTTTATAGAGCGTCTTCAAAGATATCTATATATGTTTTCATTTTCTTCATGCATGTGTTTATTGCACAGATATGACCGAACCAAACTTTGTCTTACTGTCGGGGGTTCGAATCCCGCTCCGGGCGTTCCCCAAATTTTTTCTTTGTTTTTGTCTTTTTTCAGTTGCAAGTTACTTTTCACTCTTTTAAAACATATGTGGAACATTTTGCCGATTTTTAAAAGCTATTTTTCGAGATATACTGTGAAATACCTGGAACAATCACGATCTGTGTTGTGAAACTACTGAAAATGAACGTAAACGAAAAAATACATTCTGAAATCTATTTTATTGGATGATGCAGCATATAGAACTCTTAAGAAAAGTCGGTCGGAAGACCCACTTGTTGCCCTAGCAACAAGAACGCATCTAGTTATTATTATTTTTCCTGGGAAAATTTTGTCCACGAGTGATCTTGTAAACTACACATCCGACTAAGGTAAAATGTTTTTAGGGTCAGTAGACATGTTATGTAGATTTGCCGAACGAAGGTCATTTTGCGCGCACGTGCTTGCAAGAGCGCGCACGTGCAACACGTGAAATGACCAATATAATGGATGTTGCTGTAACTTTTCTTTTTTTTTTGATGTATTTTTTTGAAACTCAAAATGTAAGAATGCATTAGTAGTATAGACAAGATGGCATGGTCAAAATAGCATGATCTCACGCGCATGCACGTGCGCTTCGCTCTGATTGGTTGAAATTAAAGTCTCAATATCTTTCTTGTTTTTTTTCATAATCTTTTGAAATTTTGAACATAGTCCTACATTATGAAGATCTACAGCATGATATATAAAAATTATCATGAAAGCATGCGCATGTGCGCGTGCTGCAATCTGATTGGCTGAAACTTTAAATGGCTATATCTCCTTTGTTTTTCGACGAAATGCTTTGAAATTTAAAACATAGTCATGCATTAGGATATCCTAAAATATACTATAGAAAAATTTTCATGAAATCACGCGCATGCACGTGTGCTGCAATCTGCTTGGTTGAAACTTTAAATGGCTATATCTACTTTGTTTTTTGACGAAATGTTTGGAATTTTTAAATATAGTCATTCATTAAGATATCCTTCAATACGATAAAGATAAAAATTCATAAATTCACGCGCATACGTGTGTGCTGCAATCTGATTGGCTGAAACTTCAAATGGCTATGACTCCCTTGTTTTTCAACCAAACAAGATGGGATTTAGAACATTGATAAATATAAGGGACTTCTACAAGAATGTGTTGTCATCATGCATGTGCTTGCACGTACGTGCACATGAAATGAGTAAAATTAAAAATACACTCGAATGAGTGTATTTTTTAATACTTTTGGATTAAATGATTTGATATTAAGTATATTAAAATATATAGATAGTGCAGACAAGAATATGGTTCTTACGCACATGCAATGCTTAAATATAAATATATTTTGTATTCTTTTGGGAAGACCTTGATTAAGTCTTAATTCCATAAAGTATTTCTTATCTAAAAGAGATAACAGGGAATATGGCACCAAAAGGGAGTTGGGGAGCGTTTGGGGAACATCTGTAACGGTCCCCGTTACAATTAGCACTAGTTATGTTCCCCAAACGAAGTTGGGGAACATATTGTTTTTACTCTGTTTCTTATTAAGTCTTCCGTTCACAACGGAAGACTTATAGTGTTTGTATTGTTTCTTTTTATTATTATTATTATTATTATTATTATTATTATTCCTCCCAAATTTTGTGAGCGCGATTACTCAGAGATGGCTGGATAGATTTTCACAATTTTTCTCTTGTAAGTAGGTTGATATATGAAGTTTATATAAAATTCCGTTTTTTGAAAAATTCACTTCCGGTCCGAAGTTATGACCGATTTTCGAATTTTGAAATGGACTTTTGTCCGGCAGTTTTCTCGGAAACGGTTTGAGGTAAAGATATGAAATTTACAGGAGTATTAGATCATGATATTTTATTTGTTTTGAAGTTGTTTTCGTGTGTTTCCAGTACTTCTTGTCCGAACCGGAAGTAAATTTGTTTTTGGTCAATTTTTAATTTTTTTGTTTTTAGATATTTTTTCAAGATTTTCTTATGTAAAACAGACTGAGAATAGAACTTTCGAGATAAAGGCGGAAATAGTATTGATGACGTTAGAGACATATATACGCTCTCCAGATCAACATATTTACACATTCAATATAATCTCTTTTGCATGTTACCTAATTCACTATATGCATATTAGTTTAAATTTGGCTGTGTAGTGTTAGTCCGTATATTGAAAGTTTTTGATTTACAAATTTATATCTAAAAAAAATATCCGTTCTGTGTCAACTTAGCACTTTGAAGAAAATAATATTGTACGCAGTATACATTACAGCGATGTATATACAAATTATTCTACAAAAATACTAAACATATTATTTATTCAATCGAATTCTGCATTTTGGAGATTTAAAGTTCCGTCAATAAATTCATTTTCTCTATTTACGTAGTGACAATGAGAAAAGATAGATAACTCTGACTTGTAAGTGGGAATAGAACTTTCGAGATAAAGGCGGAGGTAGTATCCATGACGTCGAAGACGTCTACATCCACACTTTCACATAAAAAAATAATTAGACTTTGAGTTTCCATATCCACTTCTGCATGAAAGATTACGTTGGTTACTGCTTTCAGTATATGCATAGTTTAAAGTTGTCAGCGTAGTGTAAATCTGTAATGTCTGTTATAATTATATTTAAAAAAAATATTCTTAATTCATTCTCTAATTTGAATGCGAAATTATCCCGGAATCCGAGTTTTATTTTCGATTCTAAAATATTATATGTACTCAAAAGGGAACTGAGAGATAGAAGAGTAGGTGTAAAGCCTTTAGAGATAAATTGATATCTGCAACTTAAAAGAAAGAAAATCAATCTATAGATTGGATTTGGTTTTAACACGTATATTTCATTGATTAAAAGTCTTATAGTGTTATTTGTTATACATGATCTATACTTTTATATACCCGAGAAGTTATTAAATATGAGAAAAAACGATTCTTGGATTTTTTGTGAAATACTAGTACTCAAAGGGTTAACATTTATGATTATGTGAAAGTTACGCGTTTCTGTGTGAAATAATGCTACGCTAAAAACATAATACAAAAACATCTGGAAAGGTCTGTTGATATGTTAGATAAATAAATATATATTATTATAACAGTAACTTGATCCGAAGGGTCGTATCACGTCGAGTTGACAGGCGCGGATCATCAGATCTAACGAGACGCGAAGCGTCGAGTTTGATCTGATGATCCGCGCCTGTCAACGAGACGTGATACGGCTCTTCGGATCAAGTTACTGTTATAATGATAAATTTATTATATACCCCCTCATAACTAGCAAAATATAGCAAAAGAAAACTTCAGAAATCAATTGCATGACATTTATCCATAAAACAAAGCATAATAACAAGGGACTTTTTAACGCGCAAGAAAAATAACGTCATATTTCTGCGTACTACGTCATCAGTTTCAGTGAGTGATGATATGGATTCAGAAAACAACATGTTGGTGATCCGGAAAATCAGATCACGACGTCACGTGATAGCGTAAATTAAACAGTAAAATTGGGTGATACACATTAGGTATATAATAAAGTATACGAATGAACACAATTTTATGCAATGCTATATAATTATATGTATGTACATGCAACCTTAATTATTTTCCTTTTAATTCATAAAGCATAAAATTACCGAGTATGTAATTCTTTTGAAGCCCCCCCCCCTCCCTCTTGATTTTATTCGGAGACATTATTGCAGCTATAGGCCTTTGAATTATAAATTCGTCATACAATTAAATCTTGAACATTTGGTTATAATTACCATTAACATGTATACAGAATTCATATTCTATAATATTAGATTTTTCATTACGCAAGATACTGAAATTTACATGTCTGAGAGAGAGAGAGAGAGAGAGAGAGAGAGAGAGATATTCCCTTTAAATCCTGATTATCCTATCCATTTACATAGACAAGAAATCAGTTCTATATCAGTTGTACCCATTCTTTATTGCGTGGACCGTGAGGCGGATCCAAATTTTAATCTTGTACACATACTTTTAAACACGAATTAAACATTGAATCTATGGCACAAGCATTTTAAAAAAGATGAAGAACTTACATTTAGCTAGTCATCGAATCTTTTTAAAACCCAGAACTAGTCGTTGAATGAAGTTTTTAATTCAAGTTGTTGCGTGGACCGTGAGGCTGTAATTTCGGTAAACTTCGGATTGATCTCGGTAGTTTACGGAATAAAATGCTTTTTCAGTTCGAGTCAATATCAAAGGCCACAATTCGAATATTTTTATTTCAGTTGATAGATAATTAAAGAAAACAACAAGATGATAACAAATGTGTTGTTTAAATACGTTTAAATGTACATCTTTTAAAATAAAACGATGTCTCCGAGACTATAAAATTCAAGATGGCGGCGCCCACGAAAAGTCCGACAGGCAAGGAACGGTTCAAGAAAAGACATAATTTGACGCGCACTGAGGTGCTTTAGAAGATCGTACTTGTGAAATAAACTTATTTGTGATTCCATGCATATTTGTGAGGAATGCTGTTATGGTATAACCCTAATTTTAACCAGTTAGAGACTAAGAGTTCGTAAGATGACTCGGAGGGTCATCGAGTTTGATGTTCATTGCCTCAAATTGCGTTCAAATTGTCACATCGGACCATTATTCTTTTGCAAGAGAGCAATTAAATGTGAGTGAAACTCTGGTTAGGTGGTTTTTGTACATACAGTGCGGAAATTGCTTGCAGTTGGCATCGGTGTTCCCAAAAGCTGAGAAAATCCAAAGGGATGCAGAACTTCAGTGTCGATACTCAATACACAGATTGTAACAGGTAAACATTTATATTTATATATATTTTGTTTATGGAATTTATGTTATCCAATCTAGGCATTGACAACTAGTAAAAAATATAATTTAGGCATTGAAAACTAGTATAAAACATTGGAGCTTAATTCCTCATCTAAATTTTCATCTGAAACCATGAAATTTTGGATAAGGCATATAATTTATAAATAGGATTTACATGTTAATGCATCTAAATAATTACATGTGATATAATTGTATCTATCCTTTTTGTAGCTATTATCTACAGTTCATTGTGGGAGACCCTCAATGTGTCGTCAACATTAAATCTGCAATTAATACATGAAAGGATTTTAAAGGTATGAACAGTTTTATTATATCATTTAGTAGATACATATATTTTAAATTTGGTGGCTCTAAAATCAAATGATTATTTGTCAATTTGCTCGAGAATCAGTGTAAGAAAAATATTTGACTACATGCAGTAGACTACCCCGTCATGTTGGACGGAATAATCTCTGCTGCAAACTTTTAATGAATCACATGTACATTATTAATCTGTATGAAACAATCATTTGGAGTACAAAAATATTTCTCATTTTCAACAGGTGTTCAATGCTGAAAAATCAAAGTACTTCGGGTATTTGTGCCTGCTGATTGGTAAAGTTTCATGAAGAGGAGTCTGGCAGAGACGATAGCACTTTCTCATCTAAGCTGATCTATAGCTATGTCAGAAATGATGAAAATAGATTAATTTATGTTTTCTCCCAAAACCAGTGATGGCAAACCTAGAGTGGCTGGAACATCTAAAGTTCTACAAAATATTGCCCCAAAGTTGTGTGAATGTTTTGCTGCCACATAAATTTATCAATTGTATCTAAACAAGTTTGTCTGTATTATGGATCCTCTACTAAGTATAACATATACCTTATGAGATTACTGTCGGAGTCCTTATAGTATCTACATTTATATCACAAGTACTATTTATTGTATCATTAAAATCTTGAAATTTATTTTCTAGGTCATTCTGTATCGAATGTTTATCACTCTGCTTTGATACAATTTACTGTCACTATCAATTTTTAACTTCAGTATTTCTGTTCAAATTTTTTTTATTCTTTTGTGTACATTTTTAAATTCTAGACATAATAATAAATTCACATTTGCAGAACTTCAAACCATTTTCATTTATGTAAATCAATTTTTTACATTGAGTTATGAGATTCATTCATAATTTTTGACTTGCAAAAAAGTCATAGTCACTCTCTGTATATTTTTTCTGCTTGAGAAGTATTACACTAAGTGCACATGTATTGACCTGTCAATCAAAATCACCGGACGCTGTATGCATTGCAATAAAGTTGTTCGAAATGATTTTTATAAAGTATGATCTTTAAGAAAATCTGATGCAACAAATTTGAGAAATGAAAAATAAAATAATAACATGGCTAGAGCATCATATATCTGTATTATGGACTTCAGTTGTGGGACGTGGAGACCGGTCCGTCAGATGAGATCATTTAAATCGAGGTCCTGTGTGTCAGATGGTACTGACTCAAAAAGATTCCTCACTGCTCAATGGCGATTAGAGCCAAATTATAGGACAACATTTTGCAGTCTCCACCGGCGAGTGGAGGCTTCTCCATGTGAAAAATACTCGAGAGGGACATTAAACAACTTATAATCAATTAATCGATTGCTGAATAATTCCTGTAGTTGAATAATCTTTCTGCTGACAAATCTCGATAGTATTACTGTAAAAATCAACGACTTTACGTTTAATGTGGTACTAACTTAGTTCATAACATTTTTATAACACCATTACAATTGTGCCAGAACATAAACACAGTGAAGTTTATGAGAGTACGGTGTTCATTTGTCCGTTGGTTTGTCTATGATATACGTGTAGCTCTTATGAGTGTCAAAATGCATAAGAACAAGATTGGTCATGAAAATCAAAGTACCTTAAGTACTGAAAGACCTTTTTGCAGTTTTTTTTTCTTTCAGAGTACATATATCTATGTTTTTTGCAGAGAAAAAAGCAAATTCTTACAGATTTAGAAGAACGGAAGACTTATTTGTTGCCATGGCAACAAGATTCTAGTTAAGGTCTTCCGACTTCCTTCGGAAGACCTTATTGTTTTCCTTCTGTTTTTTATTATTATTATTATTATTATTATTCTATTTTCATAGTACAGCCGATATCTCAGCTATGCGTGGACAGATTTCAAAGATTTTCTCAGGGAAGATGCATCATGAGAATATCTCCAGACGTGTTTTTCATTTTTTCGAAATTCACTTCCGTTCGCGATTTTTGGGGATTTTTGTATTTTTTAAGAGGCATTTTGTCCAGCAGTTTTCTCGAGAACGGCTAAAGATATGAAAGTGAAATTCGCTGAGGTGATAGAACATTGAACTCCATTATGGGCAACGACCTTTATTTTTCGTCGTCGGCACTTCCGGTCGTAAACGGAAGTGAATTCAAAAAGTCACATTTCACAACTTTGTTGTTTTTCAATATTTTTCTTTAGTATTTACAGGGATTATAGTGTGTGTTATGAGAATTCTACATATATATTTAGTATCTTGATGCGTGCATCTATTGAAAAGATATAACCAAACCAAACTTTGTCCCACTGTCGGGGGTTCGAATCCCGCTGTGGGCGTTGAATTTTTTTTTCTTTGTTTCTGTCTTTTTTCAGTTGCAAATAACTGTTCTCTCTTTTTTAAAATGTACGGAAGATTTTGCAGATTTTTAAAAGCCATTTTTGAGATATTTTGAGAAATACCTGTAATAATTATGAGATATGTTAAGAGGCTGCTGTAAATGAACGTAAACGAAAAAAAAATACATTCTGAAATTTTATGGGATGACGCAGCATAGAATTCTAACAAAAATCGGTCGGAAGACCTGCTTGTTGCACCAGCAACAAGAACGCATCTAGTTATTATTATTTTTCTTCTTCTTCTTCCTGGAACTTTTTTGTCCGGGAATGATCTTGTAAACTGTTCGTCCGATGTAGGTAAAACCTTTTTAGGGTTAGTAGACATGTTATGTAGATTTGCGGAATCAAGGTCATTTTGCGCGCACGTGCTTGCAAGAGCGTGCACGTGCAACACGTGAAATGACCAATATAATAGATATGGCCACAAGTGTTCTATTTTTAGATGAAATGCTTTGAAACTCATAATGTGAGGATATATTAGTAGTATAGACATGACGACATGGTGAAAATAGCAAGATCTCACGCGCATGCACGTGCACTTCGCTCTGATTGGCTGCAACTAAAGTCTCAATATCTTTCTTGTTTTTTGACGAAATCCTTTGAAATTTTGAATATAGCCATGCATTAGGATATCCTACAACATGAAATAAAGCAATTATCATGAAAACACGTGCATGCACGTGCGCTGCAATCTGATTGGCTGAAACTTTAAACAGCTATAACTCCCTTGGTTTTCAACCAAACAGGATGGGATTTGGAACATAGATAGATATAATGGACTTCTACAAGTAGGTATGGTCACCATGCACATGCATACACGTGCGTGTACATGGGCTGCAATCTGATTGGCTGAAACATTAAACAGCTATAACTCCCTTAGTTTTCACCCAAACGGGGTGGAATTTAGAACATAGATAGATGTAATGGACTTCTACAAGAAGGTATGGTCACCATGCTCATGTATGCACGTGCGTGCACGTGAAATGAGTAAAATCAAACATACACTTGAATGAGCGTATTTTTTTAAATGATTTTGGATTAAATACTTTAATATTCAGTGTACTAAAAATATAGATTGTGTAGAAAAGATGATATGGTCATGACGCACATGCATTCACATGTGCTCGCGTGCAATGCTAAAGTTTAAATGATTTTTGTACACTTCTTTGTAAATGTTGTTAAAATCTCAGATGCATAGAGTTTGTCTTATTTAATGAAGCTTACAGGGAATATGCCACCAAAAGGGAGTTGGGGAGCGTTTGGGGAACATCTGTAACGGTCCCCGTTACAATTAGCACTAGTTAAGGTCTTCCGTTTCAGACGGAAGACCTTATAGTGATTCTACTGTTTCTTTTTATTATTATTATTATTATTATTTTATTTTCCCTTTTCTTTTTTTGACGATTTCTCAGAGATGACTGGACAGATTCTCATGAAATTTTCAGGGATGATAGAGAATTAAAAGATCTTTCAAATGTAGTTTTCAGGTTTTCGAAATTCACTTCCGGTCGTCAAATATGTCCGATTTCCGTTTTTACAAAAGAGATCATGTCCGGAAGATTTCTCAGGAACGGTAACAGATAAAGACACGAAAGTTTCAGGAAAAATAGATCATGACAAGTAGATTTGTGCAATATGTTTAAGTCCGTCCTCCGTTACTTCCGGTCGTCACAGGAAGTGGTCAAAGAAATCGAAAATTTCAACTTTTCTTTTTTGAAACTTTTTTTGCATAACATTATAGCATCTTGTTTGTAGTTTCGAAATATATCAGTCCCACCGGAAACAAAAACGACAACTTCCGGTTATAAGAGAAAAACTGCATATTTTCAGTATTTTTCACTCCCATAAATATTTTTTATACGTAATGTATTTGAAATGATTTTTGGATATGTTACTCAGAGACTGCAGATGTCTACAGTAACGTCAAATATCTTTGTAAAATTCACTTCTGGTCGCGTGATTTTCTGTCCTGAAAATGAGAAGTTATCATAGCTAGATCTCGTAAACGATAATAGATTAAGGCACCACACTTATATAAGTGGTAGATCTTGATAAGAAGGCAAATTCAGTCGGGATAAGATCGTAAGCCGTCACTTCCGGTCGTCACGGGAAGTGATCCAAAAATCAAAATTTTTAACTTTTCTTGCATGAAACATTTTTTGCATCATATTATAACATCTCATTTGTATTTTTGAAATATATCAGTCCCACCGGAAACTTAAACGACAACTTCCGGTTATGAGAGAAAAACTACATAATTTGTGCATTTTTCTTTCCCATAAATATTTTTTATACATAAAGTATTTGTAGTGATTTTTAAATATGTTATATAGACTGCTTATGTCTACAGTAACCTCAAATATCTTTGTAAAATTCACTTCCGGTCGCGTGATTTTCTGTCATCAATATGAGAAGTTATCACAAAGAGATCTCGGAAACAGTAAGAGATGGAGACGCCAAACTTGAATGAGTAATAGAACTTGATAAGTAAGGAAACTAATAAGGGTTAAGATGGTTCGCCGTCATTTCCGGTCGTCACAGGAAGTGATCAAAGAAATCAGAAATTTCAGCTTTTCTTTTTTGGAATACTTCTCGGCATCACATTATTGCATCTTATTGGTTGTTCTAATATATGTCCGTCCCATCAGAAACAAAAACGGCAACTTCCGGTTATGAGAGAAAAACTGCATAAATTGAGTTTCATACTATCCCATAAATATCTTTTATAGAAAGAGTATTTGAAATGATTTTAGAACATGTAATTCAGACTGCAAATGTCTAGAGTAACTACAAATATCTGTTAAAAATTGATTTCCGGTCTCATGATTTCCTAACCTTAAACTGAGTAGTTAACATAGCCAGATCTTGGTTATGGTAACACATCAAGACTCTTAACTTATATGAATAATAAATCTTGAAGAGTGAACAACAGATATAGGGATAAATGTCTCCGCCGTCACTTCAAGTCGTCACAGGATGTGATTTGAAAAATCGAAAATTCCAACTTTTTTCTTTCCAATTTTTTTTTTCATTGCTTTATTGCATCTAATAAGTAGTTTTGAAATATGTCAGCTCCACCAAAAATAAATAAAAAAAATAAAAACAGCGAAAACTTCCAATTATAAGAAATAAAACAACACCAAAGATCAAAAGGTCAAAATCATTGGAAAAATATTTAAATTGCTAATATATGCCACATTACTTTGACCTTTGAGTTTGACCCTTACCCAATAGTTACTTTTTTATATTTAGCTTGATACAGCTTCAAGTGTGAAAGTCGAGTTTAAAAGGTTTTTGAATGACCTTGACCTTTAACCTCGATAAATGACCTTGACCTTTGACCCCATTGACCCAAAGATCACAATCAAGCTTGAGTCCGTGGGAATGTTTACATCTCTCACTTTATCAAATGTTTATATACCCCCCCTTTTTTTCTTTTTTTTTTAATCAATAGGAACCTAGAAAATTTTTCTACAGTTCAAACGATGCCACAGATCGACATGAAATTTAAGGATTGCAGTAGAAGACACATCAAAGAAAGTGTCCTGAGTGTTTAACAGTGAGTCTCTGAAGTATATAATGAAATTCTAATGAGTATCGCCAACAATTACATTTTTTTCTGTCTGAAATTTAGGTGCTGATGAGCATGAAAATTAAT